AACTCCAATTTACGTTACCGCTGACACTAGTGTATGTGTAATTCGGAATCGGTGCGGGAAACGTATTGAATATGTAGCGAGGCATTTTTCTAACAAACGTGACATCCTGTGAAATTGCATTTTGCAAATGAATAATGTCTTTTCCACATCCGATGCAATATACATTTTAAAATATCTGTTTTTCGGGAAAATATTGTTGCAATCACAACGACGGCTGGAAACGTATTGTTTTTAAAATTAAAATGCAGACAGAAATACAACAGAATGATTTGGCAAGCACCGTAATTAACTTTTTAGTTTTTCCATTAGTCTTGGCGGGAGAATTTATTCGCTAGTTCGTAACTTTACTTACAAAACTTACTTAATTAAAAGTTTATCATTTAAAACTTGATGAATAAATATAAAACTGTGAAATAAGTGAAGAAATATGAGCTTTACATGCGTATTTCCTACCATTGAGTATTAATGAACTAAAGAGCCTTCGTGATAGCAAGAAACACAATAGAGGACAACAGATCAATACTTGAAGAAAAAGTTTTGTAAACATGTTGTTATTTAATTAATGGAGACACAACACTCAAGTCCATGGCATTGAGCGTTCTATCGTCGATATCCGATTCCAATAATCGAGCGATACTTGTTAAACTAGTTTCTTAGTGAATCCACAGGAAAAGCACTGCCATTGGCCCCGTTTCACCTTCATAGCACACATTTGCGTTGCAGTCGTTCTGTGATATATCGAGATATTTATGATCGAGCACACCGGACCATTTCTATTGGCTGCACCCTTGAACTTTGTCAAACTTCGTTTTGTAGGTCGAGGGGCTCGTGACGTCAGACGACCATTCCGAACTGTTCAAGCTTCTTATCTTAGAAACTTGGCAAAACAACCGCCGTCAGCGATGAATACTTCGAAGTATGACATCTGTTACAAACGATAATTTATCGTTTTCGAAAAGGAAGTTTTTGATGCGGAAACCGTTTGGACTAAAGTTGTGAATAAAATTATAAATTCTGCTTTATTACTGTCTCAATACACAAATATCATCACACTCATCTCGAAATTTCACATTACATAATTCAATACCTAATATGTTTTCTTATATTCTGACTATCCGAAACTATTATTGACACGACGACGCATCTCTCAAAATACAGACCACAATATTAGTCAAAATCAAAGTTCCAAATTCGCTTCAAAATCTAAGGGCATTTGAGTAGGGTTGCTCCATATAAACCCATTTACTCTAACCAAACGACGGATATACAAACACTAAATGAAGTTAGGTTTAATGCATTTTCGCGTTTTGTGTACATCTTGGATGGATCCTTATGTACGTGAATCTTCAAAGTCGGTGCCATTGAGCGGGCAAATGGACTAATATCGTAACTTGAAACGACCGTACCCTGACAACGTACAGTAAATTGTCATTTAGTCGTTTCGCCTACTTAATGTGCCAAGTTTCAATTAAAAAGCCATTGGAGTGCCATATATGGGCCATTAGTTCTGATTATTAGCGAGGGTGTATTAATGTGGAGTGGATAATTTTATTAAGGTACTATGGAGGTGATGTCTTCATTTTGTTTTATGTTGTGCAATGAATTACGAGATTTTACGGTTTCGCATTACGGACTATTTTATCTTATTGAATTTACGTGTTGAGTTCGATTGTAAGTAGTGATCTTTTTTAGAGAATATTCTTCTTGCTATTAACGACAATATTTTATATTGAACTTAAAGAACAAACCCAATAAATGTACAATTGACATAAAGAAATCAGTTTATTTTATGACAATTTATCTTCCTTGACTTGTATTGTGTAAAACTTCTCTTCAAACTTTCTTGAAAATCGACGATTTATTTTATTGGAACTTCTTTCGGAAGTATCTGAATGATGTTGTATGATAATAATGTTCTAATTTTATTTGCATCTGTTTAAGAATATTTATGTAGTTTTATGAATATTTAAATTAGAACCTTAAATTAAATCAGGCAAGTTCCAGATTTATTAATTTATGACTTCATGCAAAAACCATTGGATGATTCTACTTCTTAAAATAAACACGTACCTACGAAGCATTGTTAATCCAAAGTTCTTTTGAGTGAAAGAAAAACATTAAGTCTAATTTAATGACCATTTCATTGTATATCTAGGCTTGATATTAGTAAATAATAAGACAGAAAACAAAGCCTGTTCACGACCTCGTGGTAAAGTCGTGAGAGACCTAGCCTGGGCTAGTTCACAAGATAAACTAAACTATGTATCTCTTTCGTTATTATTAAATAAAATAGAGAGAGGTATACTAGATGCTCATCGACTATGAAAGGAAGACTCATAGATAGTATCTTTGAAAACCATTGACCGTTGCCACATTGAAAATAAATTTCAGAGGAATCACGTCTTTTAATGATAAATTATATATAAAGACCATTAAAACTTATCTGGCAAGATGGTTATTTATCTAAAGACACGAAGATTTAGACGAGAATATTGGCTTCATAATTTACGATTTATCTTGATAAGAGAGAAACTGTACAAAACCAATCATACAAACGAATTCATTATAGGCAAAATGTTATCAAATAATAACACACGCTATCAACTTTTATATTTGCTAGTAAAAGTAAGTAACACTACACATGCGACCCCAATTTGTCCCAAACATTATTCGAGCAATAAAACACTCATTCACAATCATATAAAGCCACAATATCTAATAGATGGAAATCTTACAATATGTAAGGAGTCGTAAAGTATCAATATTCGTGGAGAGTACTACCCTTGGGGAAGTCGGGACAGAGGAACGAGATGGCAATATAAATGGAAATAAATACAGCCTTAGCTCATAAATCATTTGCGAACATGTAACACTCGAGGACAACCATACTTTCTTACATATATACACACATTACAATGTTGCCATAGCGATTACGAAACTCACATAAAAAGGGGGAGAAACAGGGAACGACTTTTAGTCACCGAAATGTGGTACAATGGGGCACAGAATAAAGGGATCTAGTTATGGCTTCGTTGATGGTCTCATGGGAAGTGCAATGTAGTGCACGAGCGTAGATAACAACATAATGAATTCTCGTTACGAAAAAAATGATACTCTTTTCTCCTTTTTTATGTGATGTGTTAAATACATATATATGCTAGCTAGCTCTATTTTAACAACATTGGAGAACAAGTTAATTTAAACGTTATACTGTTTAACAAGTAAATAGTAATTTTACCTTAGTATCGTATATATTCAATCTAACTTATATATATGTATATAAACGTTAAATATTGTAAATATGGGTGGACAAATGAATGAAAGTTTGTTTCTCTTTCAAGAAAACCTAATGAACGGATCCGAATAAAAATTGGCCTAAAGATAGAAATAGAGATAGATTATACAATAGACTACAATAACAGAAATAACACAAAATATATTTACTCTAGTATTGCAGACAAAGCTTGTGGCAGAAGCTAGTAGCAGCACATTATGAATTTAAAAGTGGTTTCCAGAAGCCACCCAAACTTTACAATGTTTCCAAGTCAAATAATAAAGAATTTAAAGTCTCAAAGCCGCGGAAAGGCGGGACGCTAGTCACTAAATCGCACAAAATGTTAATCCATGGAGAAAAAGGGAGGGACACCTCCCACCATTTGGTAAGAAGGAATTTAAAATCCACATATCTGTGTATGATGAAAAAATAAAGAGGATCACAAAGAAAAGTTTTTATTGCCAATTTCAAATTTGAAAACGAATTTTGTGTACAAATATTTGCAAATGAACAGAATACTTCGATATAGAGACAACATTTGCAATGTTTTTGAAACATATCAGCGAAAATCTTCCCTAAAAGACGAAGTTTTATGACTTAACTTTTGAAATAAATAAAAGAAAATGCTTAACTTTTACCTCATCTTCATTGGTGGTGACATAAAATTACGAAATCAGAATATTTTTTGAAACATTTGCGAGTATAAAGTTGAGTTCTTTTATTCGTTAATAAATTTAACGAATAAAATATTGATTGAAAAAAGTTTTACAATATTAGCAGATTTTCACAATTAACGTTAATGGACGGGAAATGCCTAATTGTGTTGTAAAAACTATATAGTAACAGTTTTTACAACACAATTAGGCATTTAAAATATCATGCTTTTGTTATTATAAATATCAGATAATGATGAACATAAGTCTACTTAAATGACTTCCAGAAATATTATGTACTAGCGGTCGCACGCGGTCCCGCCAGCGTGGTTTACTGGTACAGTTTTTTTTTAATTTTCTCTCCGTACAAACCTTCACCTGGACCTCCTCCTCCGAATAGTTTAAGACCAAAAGTAGCCAAATCGGTAAAGTCATTGTTGAGTTAACATTACAACGAAAACTGGCTTGAATTTTATAGATAGATAGATAATGTAATCATAAATATTGTTCAGGATTGCAAGGGCAAGCACACTGATGTACCGCGCCCCGGAGCAGGAGAAGGAACGGTGTGGATTTCAAACAAATATTTTTGTAAATATAAAAAAAAATGTTCTAAGTGCATACAAATTTTGGACATAACTGCAAGATTTAAAACGGTACTCCATAAAATCAAGTGAGCCAGACATTAGCTCAGTGAAGTAATACTTTGCTCTGCAGTATTTTATGTCTGTTGCCAGCCAAGTGAATTTCATTAAAGCGGCAAATATTGTATGAAATTTCTACTACTCTGCATTTTAACATAGAATGGTATTCAGAGGAAATTTTGTCTAAGTTCGTTCCGAATGTAACAATAACCTTTGTGGCCAGATTCCGAGAAGAATAGTAGAAAGAGAAATTATGTCAAGAACAGAGGAGCAAAATTGGCAAAATAAGCTATGTATGCTAAAGTAAGTGACATTATAGTAAGCGCAAGTAATATAATATCAAATTGTTAATAACAATAGAATTTTTCGTTGCTAAACTGATAAAAAATTTAAATTACAACACAAAGAGGTCTCCCAAATATTACTTACCAGTAAGCTCTTCACTGCAATCCAAAAACTAAAACCTGAAACCATAAAAGAAAGAAAAATTAATTTCGCTGCTCATCCAGTTTATCTTTAGAGTGACCTAAGAATATTAAGACGTATACTTTCAAAAGGCTAGGCAGCATGAACTTTGTCAATTCTGAGTACTATTACACGCCGCCTGAAAACGGCTTCCAGCCAATAACACCAACTAATGAAAGTGAACAAGAAATGGACGACACACCGTCTTATGTAACAGTTATGTACCGTGCACATTTCGCTATTACTGCTACACTTTATAGTGAAGAGGTTCTTGTGGCATTTTCTTTTATTACTAGCTTTATAATGGTCGCTAGAAACGACTGTGGACTTTGCTAGAAAGAATAACACTGTTTTTAAGCTTTAATGTTAATAAAATTGCTGGAAATGTTATGTTATAATATCAAATATCAAATAATTGATTATGTTTAAGCTTCTCTATAAATCTCCAGACATTTTGTTCAACATCATCTCTACATAATAGCATCCTAAAAATTTCCTTCCTTATTAGATTGAATACATATATTTTCTAAATAAGGCAACAATTTTAATTGAACGTAGCATCCTTAATGTTAGTCAGCTTCGATATTAATTTCTGAATTAAATGAGCATATTTATGTACTTACTTAAGCATCGATATTCCCTAGAGAAATTAAAGAACAATAAATAAGAAACAAGAAAACTGAATTAGGCAAAGTAATCCCCAAGATGCTTAAATAACATTATTGTTTCATAAAAGAAACACAAATGGGAGAACCGGTCCCTGGGATATTCGTAACAATTTGCAAGAACGTTGGAACTTCGCAACTTATTGGATCAGGCTTAAACTCGTGAGGGTCAAGTTTCTCATATAGTTTATCTCGTAATATCTCATAATGATTCCTAATTCGATAAGTCACTTGATTTCTTTTCGGCCAATATTTTCTTCTTTCGAGCAAAAACTATCAAGATCAATCTTGTATAATTTGGCCCTCATTTCTTTCTGTCTCGGGTAATACCATCTCTATTAGCTAACTGATCAATTTATGAAAGCTATCGCTTCGAATCGTGAGCCAATTCCTCAACAGTAATGGGTGAGAGCAGTTTTATTTCTTCATTTCCCCCGTGTATCGAGTTATTAGTTTATATAATCAGCTTTTTACTGCTTCAATCGATACTAACACAGCGATCAGGTTTTCCAAAAATAAATGTTATTTCATCGTAAGCAACAGTATTTCTATACAAGCTTAAACCTGAGGAAAAATTTATGAAAAGTCGCACGTACAGGGTAGATGGTAATCCCTATAAAACTTCCCTCATCAAATCCAACGTGTCTCCGTTGAAAAGAGGCACGTATCTATTGCCGCGAAAAAAAAAACAAACATGGCTGCCAGCCGCCAAATAGTTTCCAAGGCGCATCGTCCTTTGACTATGGTCCCTTTGATTCTACGTTCCTCTCACACGACTCCCTGCTCCACAGCTACCGCTTTAAGTCCTCAAAGAAATGACTCGTCAAAAGGCATTGGTACAAATCTCTCGCAATACCGTCATATTATAAATTTGTCTGTAGAAATGAATAGAATTTTCTCCTTTCAGCCCAAAGCCTTTATTTTTCGTTAAAGTATGGTGAACGAAATGTTTGTAGTATGTTGTTATGTGGCTTTTTTTAAAGTACCAATTATAGCTTTGTGTTTCGAACATACATACATGTGAAAATTGTAAGTAAATACCTATGAACTAATAGTTGGGCATAAAAATTAATTTTCAAAAAGGGTACAGAAAATAGCCCAATTTTAAAAATGGTTCAGTAACAAAAACAAGGAACAAATAAGAAAATACTGCATCTTTTATTACGCGAAGCAGGAAGAAACTGGTTTTAGCCAAGACACGAGTGGTCTTTGAAGAACTCATAAATATAAAGGTAAAACAGCTAAACTTGCTGAAAGATTTTTAGGAGGATCCGAATAAGGCGGAATTGTGAGAATGTGGTGGTGTGTTTCAAGCTATTTTCAGTGTAACTCATGTAGCGATGTGCAGAATAGGACAAAAAAATATTTGGACTTTTTCAATCATTATTACAATATAGTTTTATTACGCAAAATATGATCAGTTTTATCACTACTCATTTCTGTTTGCCTTTCACAGAAAATCAGTATTCAAAACTGATTTTCAATTATTTAAAAGAGAAAGAGGAATCTTTTTCGTCTAAGTCATCTCTTTTTCATAGCTTTCATCATCAAATAATTTTCCTGTTTATTTCTTATTAAACGACAGTCTTGTACATTTTGCTTTTGTGTACAAATAAAAATGTACTGTAATAATATTTTATTTCTGTGATAAATTCCACAGGCTCGCACTTCGGAGGCCGTAGGAGTTAATCTTTTCCACACAGTCACCTTCGTGGTACTTAACGATGTACTGTGACGGGACCTCGGCGAAAATCTATTGGACGTCTATTTTTCTTCGTTTGATATAGCTCTGTGTACATAAAAGGTATAACGTGGGTGAGAGAGGAGCGATACTCCATATTAATATAACGTTCAAGGCAGTAGACATTAGGAAGGATCTAAAAATAAATTACTTGACGTGTTATCGCATTCATAACGATGAAAAATAAAGCCTGTTTACACGCATAACACCACGTAATGGTAGATAATATCATGTTATATAGTAAAATGTGCGTCAGCCAAAATTACCTCTCATTTACATCTATAATAAAGAGCAAAATTTTCATTAAACTTTTGTTATTTTACTAACGTATACATGATGATTGTAATAAAAGTATACAAAATATAGCCAAGGATAAAATGCTTCCGCGTTAACTTAAGTGTGAGTTATAAAATTAACTTACTTTATGAGTTCATACCGACTAATGCCAGCACACCCTGTACAGTTAATCTCTTTAATGCAATCGTGCCATCCAATACTCGTACTATGCAAGCGAAAATTTGCTGCAATTTTTCACTTAAACAAAAGAGCGCAAATTCCATTGCCAGTTCTCTCCACTACGTTTCAAGAAGCACCGTCTAAACGCTGCGGTGGATGTTAATCTCTTCCGTCCGATCGCTCTTTTCAGGGTTAATGGTGTGCAAGAGTCTTCGGTGTGAATTGCGATTACGAAAGATACTCACGTTCCAACGCTGTCCCTCGAGTTTGTGTCTTAACTCCAGACTTTCTTTATTAGCAAAGTAAAAAATATATAATTTCTTTCCGTCGCGTTACATGCTACAACTTCGTACTAAAGTAAAATAACTTGGACGTTCCTTGGACAGAATTTCAATCAACCGAGAGTAGGTACTTCTTGTATATTACAAAAAATATTGGAGTCACATTTTCTCTAGAGATTTGTCAGAAACGATCATAATTTATTATATTCTCAGACTCAGGCTCCGTAAAAAATTGTGAGTGTTTTTAGATATATTTCTTTGCAAACGCTTCAGTAATGTTAATGTTTTGGCAGAGTGAAAAATAGAATGTGTGTAAGTTTTGTTAGTAGGTTCAACTTTTACGTAATTGAAAAGCTAAGCTTACATTATTCTCATTTTTATTAATTCAAGTTTTAAGTTATCCCCGAAATAAGTTTAAGTAAAACATCCTTTTAGTTACATTTTTATAGTCAAACAAATTATTCTACAATGTCACACATTAAAACACTGCGCGAATCTAGCCTCAACATGAAACACTTTGAACCAATACCAATAATAGGAACATCAAAATAAACCACAAATAACACGAAAACAAACAAACATAAACACAATCCCAGAGCTTTCAAGAAAACGTTCCGTTGTTAATGAACTCTGTGTACGAACAATTTGAAAACAAAACAACACGAGTCGAGAAACTAAGAAAAACAATGTTGCTATTTGCTACCATGATAATATTATATTATCGCGAAGCAAGAAGCGAGCTCCGTTGACCGCACGCTATGTCGAGTGACAAATTAAATGAATTTACGGGCAACCGACTTAGGGTGTCTGCAAACAGCGGACTTTTCTCAAACTTTACTACACACTTATTTACAGTCAAAGTCATAAACGTGGCCATCTGCTCTTATGACACGACATACAACAAAGCTAACTATTGTACTTTATTGTTGAATGTCGTAATCTATTTTTTTTTTCAAAACGGTTTATCGCATATTAGGGAATTGTCATAATTATAATTACACCAAAATGTCTTACTACTATTTTAAAGTCAATTATTAACATTTCCCTTTCTCTGTTTTGAGTTCTGAGTATCCTTTTGTAACGAAAATGTTTAAAAACTTTTATCAGTCCTTTAACCGACTATATGCAACCGCCCTTAGTCAGTAGACATATGTAATGCTCTTTGCGAGAATGTAAATACAATATACATGACTCAGCTTTCTGAGGGCGCTCGGTTTCATTGTGATAGGTTTAGTCTTGATCTCCTTGAATTTATCGTTCCTTAGTGTTGGGTTATTCTGGTTAAATTGTGAGCTTTTGAAGGTTTCAACTACGTAGCGCTTTGTGAGGGTATATAGAAAAAAGGGTTAGCTAGTTTATTTTTCATAAACGAGAATATGTCAGGCTATTGACGGCTATCGTATTCCAATTTGTTTTAGGGGTCATAGTGCTTAGGAAAACTCTAGCTAGACGGATAGAACCTTGGCCGTTAACATTTATTTTTTGTAGACTTTTCGATTGCGAAACAATGCCATTTATTTTGTAATTGAGCGTAAAAAACTTATAGGGCAAGTAGAAAGGTTACATCTATCACTACAAAACCCTTTCAGAACTTTGCTCTATCAACTCACGTAATAAATATACTGGAATTTCTCAACTATATAACTCGTAACGAGTTCTAATCATCGTCATCTTTTGGGGCCTATTCTAGGTACCAATCAACTTAAAGCCAATAAACAAGTTGAGTAACAAGGCAAGTGACTAACGATGATTGCCTGACAAGGTAACATTTAGATTCTTTGTAATATTCTTATACCACACAATTAGGTTCTATTCAGTAATAAATAGGGCTGGCTCGGCATGAGCTTGCAAAACAA